CTCTTACGTACTCACACCTCATTGATTTACACACCACATCAGCTCAGTTCTAGGGGGCTTTCCCTGCACTGCTGGTCCCACAGAGGAGTTAGTGCACTTTGTTTATGTATTCTCTCCCTTAAAAGTTAGTTTTTTCACTTCACCAGCATCCCCTCAGCCAGGGCCAGGCCCTGAACTGGGCCCTGGCTGAGTGCTATAGGGGAGCCTGGATGAGGGCCATAGGGACAGGGTTGAGGGAAGACTTCCTGGAAGAGGTGACACCTGGGAGTCAGGCTGAGGAGTCTGTCAGGTGACATTGCCCCTCTTTCCCCTTTTTCCACCTTTTTTGCTTTTTCCCATGCATTTTTCACCCTCTACTGTCAACTTGTCATGGACATTTCCAGGCTTCAGCCTCAAGAGACAGAGCTGGGTGGGCTTTGGAGATCTAGTCTGACACCTGCCCATCTAACAGATGGGACAGTGAGGTCCCAAGAGGGACTGATTGCTTTGTGAATGTTAAACCATACTAGCATCTCTGAAATAAATCCCACTTGGTCATGGTGTATGATCCTTGTATTGTACTGTTGAATTTTGTTTGATAATATTCTGTTGAGGATTTTTGCATCTATGTTCATCAGGGATATAGGCCTATACTTTTCCTGTGGCATCCTTGTCTGGTTTTGGTATCAGCATAGTGTTGGTCTCATAAAATGAGTTTGGGAGTATTCTCCTCTTTTCTAGTTTTTTGGAGAGTTTGAGAAGGATTCGTATTACTTCTTTAAATGTTCGGTAGAATTCACCAGTGAAGCTATCTGGTTCTGGACTTTTGTTTTCTGGGAGGTTTTTAATTACTTATTCAAGCTCCTTACTAGTAATTGATCTGTACAGATTTTCCTTTTCTTCACGATTTGGTATTGGTAGGTCATATGTTTCTACGAATTTATCCTTTTCTTTTAGGTTGTCCAATTTTTTTTTTTTTTTTGCTTATGATTGTTCATAGTAGTTTCTTATGATCTTTTGTATTTCTGTGGTATCAGTTGTAATGTCTCCTATTTCATTTCTGATTTTACCTTTTAATCATTTCTCTTTTTTCCTTGGTGAGTGTAGTTTTAAGGGTTCATCAATTTTGTTTATATATTTTTTAAACAGCTCTTTGTTTCATTGATTTCTTTCCTTGTTTCTTTGATATCTTTTTAGTCTCTATTTCATTAATTTATGCTCTGATCTTTATTTTCTTCCTTTTACTAATTTTGAGCTTAGCTCTTTTTCTAGTTCCTTGTGGTATAAAGTGAGGTTGTTTACTTGAGATTTTTCTTGTTTCTTAGTGTAGGCACTTATAGCTATGAACTTCCCTCTTAGAATTGCTTTTTTTTTCCTCTTATTTTTGAGTTTTAGGAGTTATTTCTATAATATTGGCTAATAGTTCTTTATCAGTTAGATCTTTTACAAATATTTTCTCCCAGTCTGAGACTTGTCTTCTCATTCTCTTGATGGCTGGCATGTATTTTAACATTATCTTTGTTTGGTTTTTATCATCTTATGACATTATTAGTGTTTTAGTCAGCCATTATTCATTAGATTCATCACCAACATATATACCACTCTCTTTGTTCTTATCCCCCCCACCTTCTCAAGACTTTCACCTTGAGATCACTATCCTTCTGCTTCAGGTATATCATTCGGAATTTCCTTAAGAGAGGGTCTACTGATTGCAAAATCATTCAGTTTTTTGTTTATTTAAAATTGTCTTTAGTTTGCTATCATGGTGGAAATTTGCATAGAAAATAATTGACATTGTACATCATTAAGGGTACATGAGTCGATAATTGATTTTTTGGGCAATGGCTTTTAATATGAAGAAAATTTAATCCCTGCTTCAAACTGTACACAAAAATAAAAGCCCTAGAGGTTAGATATCCAAGTTGGAAAAAAACCCAAGTCTTCAAAATGATCAGAAAAGAGTGTAGGAAGTACCTTTGTGGTTTTTCTTGGGAAAAATACAATTTACAAAAGATTCTAAAATTTCACTTCATGAGAATTATAAAGGTCTCTACAATTAAAAAACTTAGAAACAAGTGACATATTAGAATATATAAAACAAGACAGTATCTTTACTATATAAGCAATTTTAATAAAGAGAAGTCTAATAGGTGTAACAGAAAAGATAAACTGACAATAAACAGAAATAAATGTGTCAATAAATATATTTATATTCAGTTGTATAAGGAAAACTTTATTTTACATAATTGACATCATCTTCTTCATGAACCTCCACCTAATTGGTATGGAGGTGGGAGGGTGGGGATTTGAGGTTGGGGGTTGGGGAATGGGGAGCAGGTGCACTGTAAACTTTCCAAATAAGTGGATCTCAGACATTTTTGGTTCTAATTCTCCTTCAAAGGTGCACAGGCACCTTTTTATAAATGTTACCTGTTTGGATTCCTTCCTCCTTCCCTTGCTTCTCTTCGAGATGGATTCTCTTTCTTGGTTTTCTCCTTGATTAATGCTAAGGATTTTTACTCAAAGGTGCTGAAAGTCATGATACATGTGAGTCATGAATGCTTAAATTCTTTAATCTTTCCTCTTTCCATTCTTGCCCAGTTGGAATGTCTCAATTCTCTCTGATGATGATTTATATTGAAAGTCTATGTTAAGACTTCCAAACTTGGCTGTTGAGATTTAAAGATTGCTTAAGAAATTAAGTTTTAATTTTGCTTCCTGGAGAAGATTTGATTCTCATGATATTTGACTAGTAATGAATGAAAAAGAGTCAGCTTTGAAACTCCAGGCTGAAAGCTAACTGCTTTAATCTAGGTAGTACCTGTCCTCCGCCCCTGAAAAGGTTAAAGCCACTAGATTTGGTGGGCAATAAGTTGAAAGTAAGATTTGCAATATATGAACATATATCTGAAATTACTTTAAAAATATTCTCATTACACATGAAAAATTGCATTATCTTACCAGTAATTAAGAAATTGCAACTTTTAAAAATAAGATACTATTGGCAAACAATGTAAAGTTTGGTGAGATGGCCTGGTGAAAGACTGCTAGAGGCTATTGAAACTGTTGCAACTACTCTAGAGAATGATTTGGCAATATCTAATAAAACTGTAAATGTGCATATCATGCCACTTATCAATATAACTTCTAGGTAGGTACATTTTGCAGAAGAACTCACCCTCAGGTGTATATGATGACAAGTGTGAGGATGTCTACTACAGTATTGTTTGTAATACTAAAAACTGTAAACTGTAAATATCTATTAATAAGTTAGTGAATAAAATATGGTATATTCATATAATGGAAACTGAAATCTTTAGGGGAAATGAACTGTATATATACTTATAAGTGATGACTTCAAAAATAAAGTTGAAAAGGAAGTAAACTGAAGAATATGCCAGTTATATAAAATTGACTGTCAACACAACATAATTATTATTTATACCTATACTTTGTACATGTAGCATGATACACACCAAATTCATGATATGTTGGGAATTCTCTGGCAATGCTGGGGAGGGGAAGTAAATGGTGATCAAAAGATATGTTTACATTATCTGTAAAAATTATTTTCATAAACCAACATTATGAAAATAGTATTAAGAAATAACACCTGGAAATTCTGAATGGTGGGCTTATGAGCATGAAAAAATGCTCAATAATAAACCAGAATATCCAAATGTGTAGTTGAGTGCATTGTAGTGAGTAGCAGTTCTTATCACTCTGAGGGGGAATCAAGACAAATCTCAGACTTCCATGATTAAGAATACCCATTTGATTGTTCAAGTGCAGGAGAATACGGCATCGTACAAACTGCTTCTGTAACAAACCAATGTCATAGCTTCCTCCTTTCATTAACCATTGTTTTTACTAATTTTATATTCTAAGTTTAGAAATATTCCTAGGAGTCCAAGGCACCACATCTGTGTGACATTTATTTATTCAATATGCATTTATCTTGATTGTCCAGATAGGCAAGAAGAAAGGGAAAAAAGGGAAAAAGAGAGAATTGGTGATAAGACTTTATCCAAATATTCAAGGCTTATATGAAAAATATTATAATTACTTCACTGCTAGTCATATTTAACGACCAGAATAAATGGAGATGAATAGCAAGACATAACCAATATCATGGAGATGTGCTGGATAGTGATGTATCACCTAGATTCTTCTTCAGTGAGAGTTATTCCCATAAATACTAGGAGTGCTATGGACAGAAAGCCTTCAACTGTCACCTCCTTTAGAAATTGTCTCAGCTGAAAAAAGCTGCCTTGACCAGGACATGGCTCCTCCTTAGTCTTTCACACTGATGAATGAGGGAATTGGGCTATTTCATCATAACCTGGGACAACTCTGACCAGCTATTCTAACCCCGGAGCTCCCACTGACGTTGGCTGAGGCTGTCACTGAACCTGCAACACTTCAATTTCTCCCTCTGATCACTGCTGTTTATTTTGCTTCTCTTTCACAGCTCTTCCTAATAAATATTGTGCATGCTAAAAAAATTGCTGATCAGAAGCTCCTCACAGACCATTAAGGAAACAAACATACAAGCAAATTCATAACTACAAAAAGAAGAAAAAACAACCTTGGAATAGAAATAAAGAAGAGATGCATGGGGGAGGTGATGGGAAAAGAAATAAATGTGGAAAAAAATTGAGGTGAGTCTGAGGTAACAGTAGGGGTGAAACAAGAATGCAGCTGGCCGAAGGTGACAGGTGGAAAAAACAGCTGCTCATGCAGCAGAGGAGAGGGATCTAAAAATCCACGGTTGCCTGTATGTGGTCTATGCTCTTTGCTAAAGGTCCATATCAGAGTCTGCTTTTTGCTGCTACGGATTAAGGCATTTTACTAAAAAACAAAAAACAAAACAAACAAAAACAACCCTAACAAAACCAACAAAAACCACAGCTGCCCTCTGTGAATGAAGATACTCCATCTCTGAGTGGTGGTAAGTGCTTACAGTGCGGCTTGGTAGCTCACTAGCCCCAGAGCCAGGTGGCAAGGGATTGTGGGGCAGTTCATTCCTGGAAGAGGCGTCTCCGGGCCTTGCGCGCTGGGCCCGGAGGGCGCCGGGGTCGCACGTGGGGACCTGGGCTCGGAGAGGGAGGTAGAGGTTGGAGTGGTGAGCTGGGGAAGGGCTCCAGAAGGTGGGAGTCCAGGTTGAAGTAGGGACCAGGCGAGCGTCGCTCTGGACTAGGGGTGGCGGCCTGAGGCGAGGGCTCTCTGACGGGGCCGTGCGGGCAGGGGCGGAACCCAGCGATGGAGCCTCCTGCGGCGTCCACCCAAGGAGTCAGGAACTCGGGGTCCGCGTCCTCGTCGTAGGCCTCTTCTCCGGCTGCGATCCCTGGGACACATGCGCGGAAGAATCCCTGCTGGACGGCGACGTCTCCCCCGGGAGCGTCCTGGAGAGCGCCGGGTTCCAAGAGGGCCTCGGGGACCAGCATGAGGGTGTGCCCCCCCAGAGACACTTGCAGGACCGACGTTGGCTCGGGCTCCAGCACCAGGTCGACGTCGTCCAGGGGCAGCTGCAGAGCACAGCCCGGCGCCAGGACCACCACGGAGGTGAGCGTGTCCGCGGCCGGAGGCCCCGCCGGATCTCGCGGGCTGGGCGCAGTCCCGGACGCGGGGCCCGCCGGCTCCTCGGTGCGGTGGCGCTTCTCTGGGGGAGGTCCTTCAGTCTGTGCTCCCCACCAGGGCGCAGGATAGGCGCTGGGTCTGAGGAGTTGGCCGCCCATCACCTCCATGGCGCTGCGGGCGGCGCTCTCGGGGCCTAGCAGAGGGCGAGTGTCACACTCAGTGACAGGCCTCGATGACAGGTGAGGCGGGCCGAGTGCGGGTGCGGTGCAGGGTCCCGTGACGCGGGGCGAGTCCTCGAGCTCCGGGGGCAGTCTGCCGGGAGGCCCGCAGTCCCATATTCTAGGAGAGCCTTGATGGGGCTCAGGGCTTGGCCTCGAGCGTTGGAATCTTCCGCTCCTCCCGCTGACCTGTAGGCGCCGAGTGATTAACAACGTGGGCTGTCAGGTGACCTGCGTCTCACTCTAAGCCCCGCCCCCTGCCAGAGAGAGCATCTGGTTTGGTACCGCGCCTTGGCAGGGTAGGTTTTCTGCGAAGTGTAGGGGAATGCGCCTTAGGTGCCCGTTTGGGGCCCCGTGGCCTTTATTCGTGAGGGGAAAAAAATAGCCAAAACATAATCTCATAAATTGCTTGCTTCCTTTGGTAGCCTTTGTCTAATGTCTTCTAAGATTTTTCTTGCAGGCTATGAAAAGAGTATCTCCCACCACTCCTAATGCAAATGGTTTTTGAAATTCTTTTCATTCAGGAGAGAAAATAGAAATGCAGTTTTCTAAAACAGAAAAGATTTTAAAATATTCAAGTAAAACTGCAGGGTTTGTTTTTGCTCTTGTTGTTAGAGGTGAGGCTCTGGTAATAACAGTAGCAAAATTTATCATAGGGTTAACTTTGTATTCAAGCTTGCTCTCTGACTTTATTACACTGAGTGCTTAAAAATTAGTTTACTCAGTCCTCATTGGTGAAGATCAGAGGGGAGAAGGGAATTTTACAAAATTAAATACCTGGCTATGTGTTGCATTTGGGAATTAAATAGTACTGACATGTTTAACTTTAAAACAGAGATCTTTGACTTTTTAACTATATGCTTATTGCAAAAAATCCAGATGTGGAATTGTTGGGTAGTAGTGTGTGGCACGCTAACAATAATAGATAAGGCCAAACTGCTTTCTTAAGTATTTATCCTAATTTATATTTCTGCACCTATGGGTAAGTTTCCCTTTGCACCACATACTTGACAACACTTAGTATGCTTAGATTTCTTAGTCTGGATCAGATTTTTCCATCTGATCGTGTAAAATGGTATCTCATCATGTATTTATGTTGTATTTCTCTGATTATTCATGATTATTCATTGTGGTTGTCTTTTCTTTCTGTATATAAAAATTATTCTCTTTGAATTTGGTGTTTGGTGGGCTTGCAATAATCTGCCTATATTTTTAAATTTATCAACCTTGAAAGTTGTGCTTCCTGAGTGAAGATACTATTATATGTCTCAGAACTTTGTATATTCTTGGAAATAGGCTCCCTCTACCCTTCAGTGCTGGAAGTCTTGCCACCTCTATCTGCCATAGGGTCATGGAGACTAATGTCCTCATACCTTTTATTCTTGTTCATAGTAGGTCTCTGTTCATCCCTCAGATCTCAGATTCAAATATTCAAATACTCAGTACATGGTATTCTTTCACTACCTCCTATGTTTTTCTACCTTCTACATTTTTGCATTCTGTCCCCCGAGGTTCATAGTCAATCACAAAACTCAAAAATCTTCATCTTCCCTTTAACTTTTTATTAAAATTGAAACCTGCTTCTTCTGAGTACACTGTTTTCTCTGAAGGCTTCGAAAATGGAGGCTGATTTCTTTCCCACGCCCGTAGTACTAATGACCGGAGGTACGATATATGTTTTTCTTGCTCCTCATTGATGCTTTCCAACCAGTTCTCTATTCTTCCTGAATTTCATGTTAACAGAGTATAGCCACCCTCTGTCCTGTCTTGGTGTAGTCCTTTACACTCTTGCCAACTCCAGGGCTCCTCTCCCACACTCCTTAAGTGTGTTTACTCTTGGGTTTCTGTCACTCTCTCCCATATTGGTGCCATCCTAATTCTTGGTGATTTCAAAACACACTTAGGTACTTTGAACATGTAGGTGGTTCTTCCAAAACACTGGTATATCTCGGTCCTGTACTACTCTCATGCAATCCAGACTTGCATATCTTTAAGATAAATTTAAGCCTCATTTCCTTTTGTGTTATGAGCTTTTTCTTTTGCTTCTTAGGTTACCTATTGGAGGCATCCTGTTTTTGAAGGCTGGGATTTTTTGGAAGGCAATGTGACTACTACATTTTATTTTCTCTCTCTCATAAATGGGTCATTAAAACCAAAGCTCTAGGTCACCAGAGAATGTTGGGAACCCTTATGTATCCTCTTGTTTCAGCACCCACTTTCCTCTCTGGATTTGTGACATGTCATTATTTTTGACGTTGGAGAATTTCTCATACATTTACAAGCTGAGATATACCTTTAAAAATGTTAAAATAATTTTTACATATCAGTTTCAAGAATGTTGTTCTTGAGGATGTTTTGGACTATTTGGTTCACATATTGCTGAAAATCAATGTCCTCAGTTATTTCTAGTGTAGATAAGGAGGCTTTTGCAGTAGAAGACAGCTTTGCAAACAGGGTTGGTTACCTTCCCTCTTCAGAATAATCAGATAATTTGGCTGGGACTTGGGACTGATTAATTGATGTGTTATGGGAGGAAGGAGGAAGGATTGTTGAGTTGTGGTGGGAATTATGAACAAGATGGTAGTACAGGGGGGTTCCTTCTACTGTAAGCAGAGATAGAAAATATTAAATCATGTTAATCATAGACATTTACTTTCAATAGCAAGACACATACCTCCAGGAATAAGAAATAGAGTAGGAAATCTAGTCTCTGAATGGATAGCTGATATTTGGTGTATTTGTGGCACTGAGACTAATGGGATTTCTGTTCCTTTGAGAGGGCTCAAGATTGGCCTAATGCCAATCATCAGAGTTAAGAGGCACTGAGCTTATTTTATGGCAGTGTCTGTGGCTGATCAAGGAAAGGCAAGTTGAAACTAAAAATGGCCACTGTGTGATTGCTTGGGGATTAGACCTATGACTTTCCACAGAAACAGGTTGAAAGAGTACAAAAATCCTTGGTTCTGAGTTGTGGTCCCCTAGGAAATGGAAACTAAAAATTATAACTGTGGAATGCAGAAGATGAATTCCCACTCAAAATGTAACCACTAATGAAAATTGCTAAGCACATGAGGCAATCCAGTGTGATTAAAATGAAATAATAGATTTTACCTGTGAGGAAATTGAATTAACTGAGCTATTAATTAATGCTAAAAAAATTTTAAAACATAAAGGATGGAATACCATCCATGAAACAAAAATAGGAGTTTATATACTAACTGGAGAAGTTTGAAACAAGATGAAGGAAGTAAAAATATATAATTTTTGAATGAAAACTTTCTTATAGAAACAGAATGCTGGAAACAGTTAATAAAATTAATTAATTGGGTTAAAGAATAAAGAAATCTGGAATTAAGGCATACACACATGATATCAAGATGTTAAAAGCAATGGGAGATTGAGCACTACCTTATATATACTGTATCTGATTGGATTTCCAGAGATGGAGATGTGTGGGATATTCCAAGATATAGAGCCTAAGATTTTGTGGGATTTCAGCCAAGAAATAATTTCCCATATTGATGGTTAATCAAATTCTACCCAGCTGAATAAAAATAGAAATTTACCCCAGAGACATTATAATAAAACTGTAGGACCCCATAGGAAAAGAAACATTTTAAAATATGTTAAAATGAACAGCAGAATTAAATATAGAAGGACTAACATATTGATTGGCAGACTCTTTGCTTTCAAAAGCAACAAAATGGCATAGCAACAGACAAGCGTATTTAGTTAAACATCATGTTAGAATTAATGAATAAGCAATAAAACATTTTCAGACATATAAGACTAAGAGAGTTTACCACACAAAAACATGTTCAGATTTACAAAACCAAGATAGTTTACCATACATTGGACATAGTGGAAAGAACTATTAAAGAATATCCTTCAGCAAAAAGAAAATTGTGGCTAGACTTTAAGAGTGGAATGTAAGAATAAAGAGGTAGAGGAGAATTGGTAAAGCATGTTGGTAAATCTAAATAGTATTGATATTAAATAAATAAAATCATTATGTTAACTTCAGTGTGACCCTTTTATTTTTTATAAAAATGTGAAGGAAATATGATAAATAAATTTTTAAAAGTTAGAAGTTTGATTTACAAGGAAAAAGCCTGGGGTAGAATTTAAAAGGTATGAAATAATGTGGAATAGCAGAAAGTCAAACATTTTACTTCAGTCTATAGGTCAAAATCACCAGATGAACAGATTTTAAAAGGAAATACATGTCCCAATGCATGCTGGAAACATCTGATAAAATCCAACAGCTATTCATAATCAAAAGTGAACTGACTGGAAGGGAACTTCAGCAGGTTAAGAGGTAACTCTGAACAAACATCATGTTATTATGCAAAGTAACCATTATACATTTTACAGTTTCCCAGAAGAGCAGCTGGACACATCAAGAAAGAGAAAAGCCATGACCAAGAATGTAAATTAATGGGAAAACAGACAAAGAAAATAATAACATGAGAAATCCAGTGATTTATTGGTTTGGGGAGAAACAGGAGTAACAATATGGGGATGGAGTAGAGTTTGAGAGTAAATAACTGATACAAAACGAAGGGGAATGAAGGTGCCTGAGAATGATCTTGTAAAAAAGCCCAGACGTCTGAAAACAGATTGTCTGGTATCCTGGGGTAGATTTTCTGTTTCAAAGATGAAGTTTAGAGTCTGCTTTCTCTTCCTTACGTCTTCATTTGTGTCCTATAGCCAGTCTGAGCGGAGGGAATTGTTTGCATACGAAGTGCTCAGCTTCCAGGTGGCAGGATAAAGGACGTTGGAAATCCCCTCGGGCCTCCAAGGTGGGTCGCTAGAACTGTGTGGGGTTGGGGAGGGGAGGAGGGCGCAGTTCGTTCCTGAACCAGGCGTCTCCGGGCCTTGCGCGCTGGACCGGGAGGGCGCCGGGGTCGCACGTGGGGACCTGGGCTCCGAGAGGGAGGTAGAGGTTG